CTCTCTCTCTCTCTGTAATAGATGAGGTCGGGGGGGGGGCGGTGACTTCGGAATTTCTGTCATTCGGGGTTCCTTGACGTCAGTTCTCCCCTCCGCCACGAAACCCGGGCCAGGAACTGGGGCTAGTGGATGCCCCTCCACCTTGGGGGTTGAGAGGGAGGGGAGCCGAAAAAACTCTTGATAGGAGGGAGGGGGATAAAATGGACCAAAATACCCAAATAGCTAGAAACGTGGGTATGCGGAGGAAGGGGGTGGCTGGGTGGGGGGGTTCCTGTGTCGAATTGATGCGTGTCATGTAGCTTTCAAAATTCAGGTCAGGCTAGAAATCAGCCTATTTAACAAGGTGACCTTGGGTCGATACAATTCGGGTAGATAAACTGTTCAGGCAAGACATCAGGTGGTGCTCCTTCTCGGTACACAAATAAAAGCTGAATATCCAAGTCTTTGAAGATGCTGCTTATATTGGCTATACTGTGAGATGAGAGGGTGAGGTTTTTATGTGTTTGGATGTATGTGTATTAGTATCTATAGAGGAGTTAGTAAAAAAAAAAAACTATGCTGCACTCTTGCTGTAGCTCTCTTTGATGCAGATGTAGACCCCCCCCCGCCAAAGCCTGTTTCTTCCTCATTTTAATTTCCACATTTCATTCCTTGTAAGTCCATCTATTGCCTTCATTTTCTGTTTTTTACACACAGGATTCTTAACATCTTGGTGAGTAGTTGTCATGGCTGGCTAGGGGTGTCCAGATTTGGACCTCGTCCTTCACTTGTTATAAAATGTTTAATTGGAAGGGGAACATTACTCTGTGATAGGGAAATTATTTAATGAATGATCAAATCTGGCTGGTTGTTAATTCCTGTTTTGAAGCTTCAGGTTGGAATTCTAGTAATATTTCAGTATCCCTGGTATTTTTCTGCTGTTTGTGTTTCTAATACTAATGTAGTTGAAAACATGTATATAGTTACATTTGACAAATTCCACTATTTTTAATTAGTTTAAAATGTTTTTCTTTTTCATTTTTTCTCAGGAAAATCCATGGGCTTTTCCTGTAGCTAATGGGCGGTCATGAAATGGAAAATATGTTTTGCTTGAAACTGGAAATTTTAATTGTCCATGGTTTGGCAGAAATAAAACCTTGGTTGATTCAGAGGGATCACAAAGTAATTTTATACAGAGTGTAGGGAAGGCTGGTAGTGTTACTCTCTCCCCATTTCTTCATGGCCTGTGCACAGCTCTGCTCCATCCAATCTTTCCAGGGTCTTCCCTCCTGCTTCTCCCTCCCCTTAACTGTCACCAATATTCATGGATGGCATATCTCACAGGCCCACCTATTCTCTGATCTTCCAATACCTTTCCTTCCTCCCTTGCATTCCCTCAGCTACTGCTGCTAGTGTCCTAGCACGACATCCCACCAGGATGCCAGCTCCCTGAACTTAACAGTACTTTCCTTTTCCTCTTCCTTTTCCTCCCTTACCTCTTGTTGCCACTCTCACACTTGTCATTCCCAGAAATCCATAATCTTACCTTTTTTCACTATAGCACCCCCCCTTCCTGCCTGGAACCATATTTTGATCCATATATGGAACAAAAGCCATCTTTAATTCTATATATGGATTAAAACAACCAAAACATATATGTTTCAGTTTGTGCATGGACCACCAAGCCTAGCTGTTTAATGGATGGAGTGGTTCATGCATGGAACATTTTGTACATCCTTTCTGCCCCAGTATAATGCTTTAAAACAATTATGAAACTCCAGAAAATAGTAGAGACAGTCAGTAAATTGTATAGCCATTAAGACATCTTATTAAATAAGCTTTTAAACACAGAACCAATTCATCGAGAAGGCAACTGCTAATGGTCTGAAAGCCTTACTAAAATGATGATAAATGCCTTGATAAAAAAATCACATCTGCCTGTATGTGAAAATTAATGAATATAATCATTCAGTAGAGTAACTGAAATAATTTCTCCTTCCCATGACTACATTCTGAGAATAGTATCTGAAAAAAGATATATGTAAAGTATGCTTGATGGGGTCTGAGCTAACCATTGACTGGAAAAGGGATCTTAGGTAATGGATAGCTTGATTAAAGCATTGGCATAGTTTGTGGCTCCCTCAGAAAAAATAAACACCATAACAGGAATCACTAGGAAAAGGATTTAAAAAGTACCACTATCATAATGCTGTCATAAAATTCTGTATGTGGCCTATTTTGTACACAATGTACAGTTCTGGTTGCTGCACCTCAAAGATTATAGGGTTGGAAAAAGTACCAAAAAAGCTTAGAGTAGCTAGAGGAGGGTACACAATTTGGCCTCCATTCTCAGTTGGCAACCAATTGTCTCTTAAGTTACAACTAAGCTTAGTGATTTTAGAACTTGGTAAAGTGTGAAGTGATGTGGTTGGGATTTCTAAAAGTCCATTATTAGCCCTTATGCAAATAATTATGGATACATGGGATAGAGTAACAATTAGGAAATATTATAGCATTTGGGGCTTTTTAACTTAGGAAAAAAAACATTTAAGGAGGCTGATGATACAAGTTAATAACATGTGCATTGTGTGAAGGAAGTGGACTGGATCTGAGATCATCCAGTGAAATTTAAATTTTGGAACCTACAGCATGCATAAAAAGAAGCTGTTCTTCACACTGTGTATAGTTGAGTAATAGAACTAATTACAAGAAGTAGGGATGACCACCAACTTAAATGCCTTTGAAAGAGTATTCAGCAAATTTATTTTGATAAATTTGATATCTCTAGAAAGAGAACGAGCATTATTTATCTATTGTGAGGAATGAAAATTTGTTGAAGCTAAAATGGCCAAGTATAGGAGTAGACTTCTGCCCAACTGTTTATGTCAGTTGCAAATTTGTTTGCTTAAAAAATATGGGAGATCTTTTAAGTAAATTAGTGTGGTTTTGTTTACTTTGTTATATGAAAGTGAGAGTTGGGTAAATAAGGAGAACATAAAAGTAAATTGAATATTGTGGAAACGGGTTTCTTAAATGCGTGTGGTAAAACAGTAAATGGGTGATAACTGAGTACCAAATGAATAAAAACATATGAGTGACCAGTACAAAAGAAGTGCAGTGAAGTTGCTTGGTTATCTAGAGAGAATGAATGAAGATAAGTTGTGAAACAAATATATGAAGGGAGAATGAACGGACTCAGTAGAAGAGGAAGACCAAAAACGTTGTGATTAGATGGAGTGGATTGGATCCTGAAAAAGAAAGAGATGGGAAGTTTAAAGAACAAAAGGCAGTATTTGGGAGCATTAATATATTTTCTTAACTGATAGAAATAGTTGTTTAGAACATTCTAAAATATTCTAATATTTTAAAGAGATATCTGTTTTACAGTTTATTATGTTCTTTAATGTAATGTTTTTATAATTCTTCCATTAGGCATATTATTTGTCTGTAAGTATTTTATTTGTTTTCTATAAATTATATTCATTTGAATTTCAGGTGATCTGTCCAGTAATTTAAAATAAAGCAGGAAATTAAGGTTGTCATGGGTTTATCTGCATCCTCTCCGTTAGCTACACTTCAGACTACTGTATCAGAACAGTCTCAAACTGAAACCTCACAGTGTCCCATGCATCAGAAGAACATAGAAGGTGACTGCTCACTCTGTTAAACTAACCAGGCATTTTTTCACAAATAAAGATCTTTTTAAAGAACAGGAACAGTATCCACATTTTCATTTTACATCATTAAGTATGTAGCTACTGACTGATAAGCATGAAAAACTCCATCTTCCATCCATTTAGTTGCAGAAATGGGTTGGATTTGAAATCTCCTTCATTTAGAGGAAGGCTAAAGTTTGGCCACTGAAGTCAGTATAGCTTAGAGGTAAAACGTTTGGCTTGTTTCTGAAGGGTTGGAAGAACATTGAAGAGTAAAAGGGTGCCATAAGTCTTGCAACTCTTTTTAACCTTTAAAATCCTTCTGAAACAGAGGCTAGAAGTTGCACAGCGGAATTAAGTTTCTATAAAGCTGAAGACATGCCTTTGGCCCCTTGGTCTTCAGAAATGGCAACATTCCTTGACCTTGCCTGCTCTAGGAGTAGACTGGGGTCTAAAAGAGGGATGCTGGATACTGTATATGGCCATGAGTTGCCCACCCCAATGTAGATGAACTGTTCCAAGTGACAGTAAATCTACAGCACATCACCATATGTCCCATGAAGGTTGCCTTACAAAATCGATTTTCATTTATTTCTATTTATATAGCTGCCCATCTCACTTTTATGTGACTCTAGGTGGTTAGAGTACTTTACTCCTAGTGTTTAGATTAATAGTTGGCATTCTAATGCTTTGTTCTGTTTCAGCCTGTCCAATGAAATCAGGTGACAGTTCTAGTGAGAAGCAGAACGCGCCTGTTCCTGCACATCAAGAAAGAGCATATGAATATGTACAATGCCCCGTTACATCGCAGACACAAGAAGAGATTGATCCTAGAAATATGGTAACTTCAGTCTGGTTCCCTGAATGCAGTGCTGTCAATTATGAAAGAGATGTTTTACTATTTTGAAAAATTAGGGGTTATTTTGCTATGTTTCTGTTTCTGCTTTCAAAATAAGTTCTTAAAATCTTAATGCTTCCATTTGTCATAGTTGAACTGAGAATATATTAAACTATTTAATCAATAGTGAAGATAAACACTAAATTGTCCAGTTGAGAACTTCATTATTGCAGCTGTCTGCCCTTAGAAATGATCCAAATATATTCCTTCACATCTGCTTTTTTCAAAACTCACACTAACATAATTTTGGAAAAACAGTTTTCAATTACTTATGATTCTGCAAATAAGACATTTATGACAGGCCTATATTCATTTTTGAATAAGAATTTGGCTAGTGTTTTAATGAATATGTTCAGGTGAACTCAGAAATTGATGAACTATCATTAGTTTAACTTGAGAGGTGTATAACTTGAAATTCTAGTGTTGCAAACAACCTCCAAAAACCTTAAGTGCAGCCTCGGCATCTCTTCAAAATTCTTCATCAAATTATAATTTTTAATATGAGAAAAGGGAGAAATTATCACATTCATAGTATTTAATTTAATTCTTGCTCTGACTTCACTCATTTCTTTGCCTTGACCCTCCTCTTTTTGGAGGATGAGCCCTATCATTCCTCTCAAGGTGAAAGTGCAGTCTTCAGCACCTTTTTTAAACTAAGAGTATGCCACAGCTGTTTTAACATGTTGGTATCAGAGATACTCTAATTATATTTGATTACACATAACAGTAAGGTATATAGGACAATAGCTTCCATGTATTAAAGCTCTTGACCAGTTCATTGTACAATTCTTTCTGTTCTTAATTAAATCTTAGTTATGTTTAACTCTAGTAGTCATCCCCACTGTTTCCAACTGTTAATAGTTCTTGCTAACCTGTAAGATATATAATAGTTCAGAAAACAATCTCAGTTAAAAAAGAAGGGCATACGTAGTGTTTAGTGTGCTCCTGCTTGGTCTTTGATTCTCAGAAACCCTTATCTACAAATGTAGAAAGGAAATAGTTGAAAAACTGCAACTGCATAAGTTAGGCATTAACAAGAGCGTTTGTTTATTCTTGTCATGCTCAGAGTTAAGTAAAATCTGGATGGAGTAGCAAGTGGCAAACATGTTGGTCCATTCAGAGTCCTCTGCCTCCAGTTAAAGCACCATACTAGAATTAAACCTGTTTGTCCTGAATTGAAAAGGAATGAAGCAAGTTGATAAATGGAAAAAGTATTTACTACTGAATATATTTGCTTCTCTAACTTTCTGTTCTTACTATTTTATTTAGATGCCACCACCTAATCAACTACCATCCCCTGGGCAACCTTTTCCATTATCTACAGTAAGAGAAGAGTCTACTATTCCTAGAACTTATTCAGAACAAAATTGGGTTTATCCCTCAGAACAGATGTTTTGGAATGCAATGCTTAGAAAAGGGTAAGTGAATTACAAATGTAGATTTATATTAGTTTTGCAGAATAATGATATGTATAGAACCAAATAATAAATGGGTTTCTCATACCTTCCTATTGTAACATTTGACTTTAATTCTGATGAAGAAATGACTTTTTGGAAAGACCCTTATTTAAAAATGGCGATAAAACACCTTTTTTAAAGAAAATGAGTGGAAATGGCATAGTTACTCTCAATCAGTTATTTATAAATGACACTTTAAAAACTTTTAAAATATTACAAAAGGAATATAATTTATCCAAAACAGCTGAATAGCAATAAATTCAGTTAAAGTATTCTTTGCATTCCTTGTTCGGTCCAGATTCCTGCTTCCAAACCCCTGGGGATTTTGATTGTTGAAAGAAGGTTTCTAGAGGTTAAGCCCACAATTTGTTATGATCAATTAAAAATTAAAAATTTGTACAAAAATACATTTTGGACAGTATACAAGACATTTGGAATAGAGAAGAATTCTTTGGGTTAAGTGAACTTCCCAGAAGTTGGTCAGAAAAAAATGGCTGTCATGTATCTTAAGTTGGAGATGCAATTGATTTTGAAAGTACACTAATACACATGCTTCAGTTATGTCAGTAGTAGTTCTTTATTGGTTGAATATTCTTATAATGGAGAACCAGGAAGTTAAGGTTAAATGATTATGCTGTTAATGTGTTGTTAAATTATATTCCACAAATTTGGAAGGTCTCAATTTATGAATTTGTACTTGGACAGTTGTCAAAAAGATTATTTATATATCCTTGAAAGGATACTTGAGTACCAAAACCTAATCTAAGCCTTTGAATTGGCTCTTTATTGGTGACAATTTGATTCCATGTCATCAAGGTTTAACTTGTTTAAAAACTGAGTTGTAGTTGTTTTATATAGATAGAATTGTTACATTAGTATTGTAATAATGTAGTATTGGATTGTTGTTGTTTTTTCTCCCTTTTAATATTCATGCCTCAGCCTATCTGGAATATGGTGTAGATTTGCAAGGTGAACATTAATTGGCTTTGTTGTTCACATTTATTAAGAGTCAAAAAGCTAAAATCTTCTTTTTTGGGTGTGTACATGTGCCTTCGAGGCAGTGTTGACTCCTCGAGACTGCCTGGATAAGTCCCTGTAGTTTTCTTGGTAAGATTTCAAAAGTGGTTTGCCATTGCCTACTTCCTAGGGCTGAGAGGGAATGACCGGCCCAAGGCCACCCAGCTGGCTTCGTGCTTAAGGCAGGACTAGAACTCACGGTTTCCAGGTTTGTAGCCCGATGCCTTAACTACTATACCAAACTGGCTCAAAATCTTCTTTAGCAGTTTCTTTCTGTTACGTTATTTATGAACTTTGTACTTGCTTCCTAAATTGCACGATTACTTATTGTTTGTTCAGTAAAAGTAGGATAGGGAGAAGTTAATCTTGATTCAATATTTAAGGTCTGCACATTTTTTTCCCAATTAGAATGAAAGAAGGAGGAGGAGATTGAGATATTTATTACATTGCATTTATATCCCCTCTTTCCTCAGGAAGTGGAAGCTTATATAACGTTGCCTTTGTCTCATTTTATCTACACAACAACAGCTCTGGGAAGTAATTGGGCTAAGAAATAGTGAACTGGCCCAAAGTCACTCACCAAACTCAGTGGTCAAATAGGACATGAATTGGAATCTCTCTAGTCACACTCCAACATCCTAAAAGCTACATTACGCTAACAAATGCCACATAAACAGCTCACCTCTTCATCTTGCTAACTTTTTCAGTATTGCTTTTTTTAGATGGAGGTGGAAAGATGATGACATGACCCCAGAAGATATGACGAATATTATCAAGATTCATAATCAGAACAATGAACAGGCTTGGAAGGAAATTTTAAAATGGGAATTACTTCATGTTAGGCAAGTACACATACAATCTTAAGATATAATACTTTCTGATTTGCATGTCTGAATGTGTTCTGAAAGAATGGTAGAAATGGAAAACTGATAAAGATCCTTTCTGGGACATTCCAATAATGCTACTTGAATTTTTTTCACTTGTGCATTGTCAACTAGCTATCCTTTAACTTTTTTTTTTTTTGGTGCTTTTGAGTCAGTGTTGACTCTTGGTGACTGCCTGGACTAGTTCTTGCAATTTTCTTGGCAAGATTTCAGAAGTGGTTTGCCACTGCCTGCTTCCTAGGGCTGAGAGAGAATGATGGCCCAAAGTCCCCCAGTTAGCTTCATGCCTAAGGCAGGACTAGAACTCATGGTTTCCTGGTTTCTAGCCTGATGCCTTAACCACTACACCAAACTGGCTCTCCATCCTTTAACTTCCTAGAACCTAATTTGTCCTTTAAGTATTCTTAACAGACTGTTTCAGTGTCTCTGATACTCTGTCACTAGATCATTTAGCATACTTTTCCTCAAAAGAAGTATAAGAAAAAAATATTGTTCTTTCTATTTCCCCCCTCAGAATGGATAAATATTTCCTAATATTTTCATTTTAAATGATACTTAAAATGTTTAAGATGTAACAGAAATTCCTGAATATTTGGAAAGACACCAAATCAAGGAATAAAGTAACTTGAGAAAGGACAAGAAAAACTTGTCTTGCCAGCAGTTTTTAGAAGTACATTAAAATAATAAAATAATATAAAAACTAGAAAATGAGTTTGATTAGATATACCTTTGCTTCCTAAACAAGCAAAAATTAACAGAAAGTTCTTTGGAATTCAGAAACTTCATGTCAACAAAAGTGACAAATATTTAATTTTCCATCAAGTTTGTATTTACAACAAAACAAAAACCTGAAATTTTCTTTCGGATTACTTTAAACCTAAATATATTCCTAAACTGTCTTGTCTTTATCACTTCAAGGGGAAATGAAAAATCTGCTTTTTTAGGAGAGATGGATCTGCTGTCTTTTGGAAAAAAACTTTTATCTCTGAGCCCAGAGTTAGATGAATTCCATTTAAACACTGCTGCTTTTCAAATGGCTTCAAAATAGCTTTTAACGTTTTTCTCAAGGTGAACAAAATTAACATACATAGCTACATACACAGAATTAATATAAACATTAACTCCACAGAATTAATATAAACATTAACTCTAGAGGATTGTTTTTAATTGATATTTCTTGTGAACATTTTGTAAGACACAATATTTTGTTCTCTGAACAACTGGGGACTTGTTTTGTGGTGACATTTAAGTCCTTGTTATGGCAGTGTGGGGCTGGAATATGCATTTTGGTTGGATGTATTTAGTCTGTTTTTCTGCATTCCCTTTTGTTACACATTTCTAAAATTGTCTTTCAGGGAGTGTCCATGTGGACCAACACTTATTCGATTTGGAGGTAAAGCTAAGGAATATTCTCCAAGAGCTAGAATACGATCCTGGATGGGGTATGTTGTTGTTATCTTGTTTCTATTTAAAAGAAGAGAAATCTTAAAGTTAGAATTTTTGTTTTCAACAGAAAATTGAGTATTGATAATACGGTACCTTCTATAATTTAAACTGTAAATATGAACTACTTATTATATAGAGAGAGCATAATTAAGATTTGTATTTCTTTCTAGGTATGAACTGCCTTTTGATAGACACGATTGGATTGTTGACCGCTGTGGAACACAAGTCCGATATGTTATTGATTATTACGATGGAGGAAAAGTAGATAAGAACTATCAGTTTACCATTTTGGATGTTCGTCCTGCTTTCGATTCCTTGTCTGCTGTGTGGGACAGGATGAAAGTGGCTTGGTGGCGTTGGACTTCATAATTAATTTTATGTGCTGTGAACAGGACTATATTTGCATCTGGTGTTATTCTGACAGTAAACTTTAATAAAGTTTATATTACCGATGTTTCTATTTGATAGCGTATATTTACGCTTGAGGTGTGTGTGTGTGGAAAAATGAATTATTTTAAACACACCTTTATTTAAAAATTACAGTGTCAGAGTTCTCTTTGTATTGACCTTTTGGTCATATTTTACCAGAATGGGAAAACTTATACTCAGAAGTTCCTCATGTATCAAGATCATTTTATTGGAACAGTTGTTAACAGTATTGCTGAGATATTAGTGCGCTAAATCTAGAGTCAAATGAAATTTTGATTTTGCTTTGAAATGATACTATCTGCTGTTGAAAAAGGGAAATAAAAATGACATTTAAAATGTTGTTTAAAATCTAAATTATTAACTGTACTAGAGTGGCTTATGTAATGAAGACCCCTTTGATTTATCCCATTCAAAATGGGCACAGTCGTAAACAAACCATGCTTTACTCACAAATCAGTTTGTAGTACCCACTTTAAAGCAGTCAGAAATCATTTGACATCATAATGATCAAAATCAACAGGCATGATCCTCAGGTTATGACCACCCATTCAGCAACAGTTGAAAGTTACCACGGTGCTGAATGCGGGGGACTTACGACAGTTTCTTGAAGTTGCAGCCACTGCAGCATCCCACAATCATGTGATCGCGATTCAGGCACTTGGCAATCGGTTCATGCTTAATGATGGTTGCACATCCCATGGTTATGTGACCACCATTTCTGACTTTCCCTGCTGGCTTCCCACAAGCAAGTCAATGGCGAAGCCAGCAGGAGGTTGCAAATCATCTGGTAAGTTGCTCCCACTCCCACTGCTTTTTCTTCTGAGGAGCCTCCAGGTAGCAGGGCAAGGTCACACTCACCCACTGCCCACCCACACGCTGCACCACAGCACCAACCCACCCCACTTGCACCGCACTGCAGCACCACCCCTGCTCACCCGTATTCACGCCATGCCACAACACTCACCCTTTCTGCTTGCACTCATGCCATGCTGTAGCACCCACCCCCTCGCCTTCCCCTCTTTGCTCCGTGCCGCAGCACCCACCCCACCTGCCCACCCGCACTTGCACCCATCTGTGGCACTCACCTCCCCCCCACCTGCACTCTGTAGCACTCACGCCTGCCGGCCTGCTTGCAAGCCACCTAAGGAAAGGCTTGTCATGACTGGGACTTGCAACTTCCTACTGGCTTCACCATTGACTTAGGTTGTTGGAAGTTCTCAGGAAGTCGCAAGTTGTGGTCATGTGAGGTGACTCACTTAACACTCATAATCCTTGCTTAACAACGGCAATGGGGACTCCTGGGATTGCTGTCACTAAGTGAAGTGGTCACTTGACATCACACTTTATGACTGCATTGCTTAGTGATGGAAATTCTGGTCCCAATTACCATTGTTAAGCAAGGACTACCTGAATTTTTGACAATCCTTTGTGATTTAGGAAAAAGGTGGCCTCCAGATTTCCCTAAAAAATCCTTTAAAAACCTTCCAAAAGTAAATTTTTAAAGGCAGAAAATGTTTCATTTGCAGATCTCACCACATCAACACCATGCCATCTGTATCCCTTGGAAGCCATTTTTGAGGAATTTCCTTCTAGGAAAATGAAAGGATATTGAAAACACATTAAACATTGTGATAGTGTTCACTGTTCTTTAGAAATATTGCCTCTTATTAATAGTTTTTTGAAAAATAATTTAAGATGTTTTAAATTAATTATTTATTTTGATACCCATAACATTGCAGAAAGTCATGCAGTGCTGCCTACTGCCTGAAAAGATTGTTGCTGCCTAATATACATCAGTTGCAAAATCACTTAGTATCTTTTTTTTTTAATCAATTTTTATGGGAGCTACCTACAGTGCACTTTTTTCTAGTCAAAACATTTTGGTTTTGGTTCTGAAGATTCTCTGTAGACAAAGACGTTATTTTCTAGCGATGGCAAATATTACCATGTAATATATGTGAACTGGCTTTTCAGTTTCTCTTTGTGTGAGTCAACAGTTGCTCCCCTGAGAAAGAAACAACCTGGCTACATATTGCTAAAGATGTGGCTCATGATGAACACCTGTGCAGTTGGATTGGGAGTTGGGAAATACTTCTGCTGCTATTTGTATCTAGGGGAACATCTAGTGTGATGTATGATGATTGCACACACACTCTTTCATTGTCCCGTTCCTTTCTGATTCTCAAAGGGATGGTAAAGAAGGTGAACCAAAAGGAAAACGAGTGATTTACTCTTTGAATATTCATTACGCTTTTGTACTCAAGCCATTGTCTCTTCCCAGACTTCAGATTGAGAACAGATCTTTTAAAAAGTGGAAAAACGTTTTTTGTAAGCATATATACAAAACATTGGAAAGATTTGGGGAAAATTAACAGAAAATGTGTACATCAACTACTTGAAAAAAATGGTCAGGATGTTAATATTTAAATTGTCAAGTTGAGTGCCTCTGCCCACTCAACATGACAATTTAAAACTGAAATTTAATTCATGAGTAGTAAGACAATAGTATTGTAGTTAAAAATATAAATCTAATTCTATCACTTTACATAATATTTCAGCCGATTATTCTTTCAGGTATATTTACAAAACTGTGATAATGTACTTGCTATACAAATGTCCATTTTTCTTACATAATTTTATATATAAAGTGCACACACACACAGACACTTTGTAAATTGCTGGATTTGGTTATTTTTTGATAAGACATTAATAGATGTGATTATTATATTTTAATGAACTGTTTTTTATCTTCTTTTACTGGTTCATCAAATGTTCTATGGTAATTAAGTTTTCTAAAGTACTGAGCCTCTATGTAGTGCTTTGCTTTGAAAGAAATGATTTGGCAAAGCAGTTTGCTCATATGACAGATGGAGGATGGAGATAGAAGATTTAGGGTGCAATTTGTGGAGGCAGCATAATATGGAGATTGTCTGGTTCCTCTTATAACCCTCTATCACATCATCTGCCGTGTGCCCTTGTAGCCAGCATCCAACAGCTTAGTAGCTCCCAGGACCTCAATATGTAAGTTCTTAGCAGCAGTAAAATTGTGCTAAAGGCCCCGGAGAAGAACAGGCAACAGGATCAGAAAATAAAATATTGGTGGTCTGCAGGGAAAAAGTTGGCTAGCAAAAAAAAAAAAAATCAAAGCAGAAAGTAAATATGATAATCAGAAAATGGAAAATACAGTGCATGCATTTTGCGCTGATAGGCTACTATTTTAGCAGCATAATCTTACTCATACAAACTTGAATTTTTAGAAGAGCTGATGTCCAAACATCCAGAATTTTGGAACTGTCTTCTTTTTGACTACCTTCCTTCACTATTGAGTTATAACCCTACCCACTCATTATTGGGCCACCATAAAACATGCTGTCATAATGTTTGCTGTCCCTGCTGCCAATTCTTACCCTGCCCTTTCTGCACCTATTTCACATCATTGCTGAATCGTGTTGTCCAATTTGTGGGTGCGTTTTTATAGACAAGGTGATTCAAACACGGTAAGATTCTGCAAAAGAAACAGTCCCAACAGAACCTGCTGGGCAAGCCCTTGTTTTCGGAGAATTGATGAGGAAGTGATTAAAACTAGCAAATAAGCAACAAAAGCCCAATTTCACCTCCCTTCTTTTCAGGATGCTGAAATGAGGAAATGCAGTCTAAAGGTGAAGCCACCCCATGGATGTCATTTCAGAGTTGTGGATGCCTGTCTTCCCCCATGTAAAATAGCAGAGATCTGCTCTCCTTATCTGGTTAAAAACCAAGAGCAGACTTTCTCAACCTTGGGCACTTGAAGATGTGTGGACTTCAACTCCCAGAATTCCCCAGCCAGGGAAGTCCACACATCTTCAAGTGCCCAAGGTTGAGAAATTCTGGCCTAGAGAGAAGTTGGTTTCAAAAATGGGGAGATGAAGAGGTGACAGTAGGAAAGAAACTCCGTAAACCAAGCACTCACTAATAGGGCAGCTGGGAGAGAAATTGGATGCCTAACATTTATTTATTTATTTTATTTGTTAAATTTATATGGCTGCTCATCTCGCCTCAGACCAGAGGACTCCTAAAACATACCTCTACCTCCAAGACAATACAATACATGGCAAGCTTTAACATACTCAAAGCGGGGGAGGGCCACTGTTGACTTAAGGCAGAAAATACAATGTTCATTATGGTACAGGAAGTGATGACATAAAGCCCTTTTCCTCGTGAGATCAGATGAAGACAATCTTTGGTGATCAAGGGGGAAGACTCCGATTGTGACGTTACAGCAGTGACATAAACTGGGGACAGCATCTATGTGTAACTGGCTCTCGTCCATTTCTTTTCAAAGGGGACCACTAGTCCCAGTCGGAATGCACACCACCCCCAGGTTCAAAAGTGGTATCTGACTGAAGGTGGTATCGTCTGCCTGCTTTGTTGAAGCTCAGAGCATCTCCCTATGCTAAATTTGGGATTATTCAGAAGATAACAAAGCAACACGAGAAATTCACACACACACACTGATGGCTGGTGACCAGCATTCACAGACCAGGAAAGGGATACTGAAATCATGGTGAAAAGCTCACTGAAAATATCATGAGGCAAAATATTCGATAATGACGCTTCCAATATAATAAATATATGGAACAATAGCCATAATTCTTGAAGACTAGAGGAGTTCCCATATGAGGAAAAGCTCCAGTGTTTGTGCTTTTCAAGAAAGCTGCTAAGATGGATATGATAGAAGTAGAAGTATATAAAATAACGCATGGCACAGCACTTCCTTCTTTTTTCTTGTTTTAAAACTTCCCTATTGCATTTGGTCAGCTGCTACGTAACACAAGACATTGGCTTAGATAGCAAGACTCTGTAATGCTTTGGAATTAATTCTGAAAAAGAAGTTTTAATCCCATGGGAATGCAAATATAGCACATATCTTTAATCCTTTAAAGCAGTTGCATCTTTAAAACATCTTTTCTTGGGATCACATGGCAGGATCCCCAGCAGCGGCCATGTGATCTTGGAAAAAGACACGGCTACCTAGAGCTGGGAGCAGGTGCTATGTTTGGACGTTTTGCATGTACTAAAGCAGTGTTTCTCAACCTCAGCAACTTTAAGATGCTGGCTCTGGAATTCTGGGAATTGAAGTCCACACATCTTAAAATGTTGAGGTTGAGAAATACTGTACTAAAGCACTTTTCTGGAACAAAACGTGAAGTATGCAATTATATTGATCTTTGTCCTGATACAAAAGCGCACTTTTGATGTTTTTATTTCCAGGGAACGGGGGCTATACTGCTGTTCTGCCTCCAGCATCATCCACAAGGGTGGGGACAGGGGGATCAGATTGTCTAAAGCAGCATTGCAGTG